AATTTCAGATGTAATTATTGGATTTGTACTGTTTTGCTCTAAAAGGTTTTTTACTAGAATAAAAGTTTCTGTAGGAGGGATACTAGGAAAAAGATTTTTTACGTCAAATGAAATTAATCTGGAGTTGTTAGGTAATTGAAAATGTTGTATTTTATTAACCAGTTCTATTGTATTTTTTATGGTAAATTTAGGTGAAAATTTAGTGTGGTCTAAAATAATCTCTAACAGTTTTTTTGAAATTTTATATGACGGAGCTGTATAAAAAGAAACTACAGGTCTTATTGGGTGATCCGGTTTGTGTAATTTAATGAAAGAATATAATTTAGGAGGCTGTGGGTTCATGATACTGAGGTATTTCTGGTCTATTGGATTTAGTATTGACTTTGAATTTTCTAACGCTAGCTTAATTTGTTTTTGATATTTTTCTGTCGGATCTTTGTGTAAAGTTTCAATATTTTGATTATTTAAGAATTCTATTGTTTTGTTATTATATTCTATTTTATCTATAGCAATAGTAGTGTTACCTTTGTCTGCTTTTGTAAACACAATGTTGTTTTCTATTGATTTATTTTTAATTGAAATTGCTGTTTTATTCTCTTTGTAACAGGAATTCTTAGTTTCACTACACACATCTGTAATAGATTTGGCAATTATACTTTTTTCGATATTGTTAGCAGTTTTGTTTAACGCTACTTCACATTCTACACCTAAATATTCTAAAGTTCTCTCATTATTATGTTGGGGCAAGTTGTGTTTAAATCCTTTCTCTAAAAGTTGTATCTCGCTGTTACTAAATTTAGTATCTGTTAAATTTATAAATCTATTGAAAAAAGTATGGTTCGAAAAACTGTTTGTATAATGAATATTGGGTTTTTTACTATTGGAAATTAGATTATTTAGTTTTTTACACTGTGTATTGAATTTTTTATCTATTATATTATCTATATTAATTCTCACGTTAGAATCTAGGATGTCAAATTCTATATTATTTAATCTATAATTTAATTCTGAATGACATACCTTAAGATAAACAGCTATTATGTCCCGTTTCTTGTATTGGAATTTTCTGTCTTGTTGAAGCCATCTGGTCTGACCGTGATGAATCCCTTTTTGTGCAGCGGGGCTGTGGTTTTTGGTTTTTAACTGAATATATTTCGGGAACACTTTATTTTGTAAACACATATTTAAAAACCAGATGTTTTGTGTCGCCAGTCTACGTTTGAGATGTAATCTTGAAAACAATATGGTCAAAAGTCCTGTACTGACTTCTTTTAAATAATTGATGGATTCGACCGTTACTTGATGGAAATTCATTTTATGTAACATCGAATCCATCAATTATTTAAAAGAAGTCAGTACAGGACTTTTGACCATATTGTTTTCAAGATTACATCTCAAACGTAGACTGGCGACACAAAACATCTGGTTTTTAAATATGTGTTTACAAAATAAAGTGTTCCCGAAATATATTCAGTTAAAAACCAAAAACCACAGCCCCGCTGCACAAAAAGGGATTCATCACGGTCAGACCAGATGGCTTCAACAAGACAGAAAATTCCAATACAAGAAACGGGACATAATAGCTGTTTATCTTAAGGTATGTCATTCAGAATTAAATTATAGATTAAATAATATAGAATTTGACATCCTAGATTCTAACGTGAGAATTAATATAGATAATATAATAGATAAAAAATTCAATACACAGTGTAAAAAACTAAATAATCTAATTTCCAATAGTAAAAAACCCAATATTCATTATACAAACAGTTTTTCGAACCATACTTTTTTCAATAGATTTATAAATTTAACAGATACTAAATTTAGTAACAGCGAGATACAACTTTTAGAGAAAGGATTTAAACACAACTTGCCCCAACATAATAATGAGAGAACTTTAGAATATTTAGGTGTAGAATGTGAAGTAGCGTTAAACAAAACTGCTAACAATATCGAAAAAAGTATAATTGCCAAATCTATTACAGATGTGTGTAGTGAAACTAAGAATTCCTGTTACAAAGAGAATAAAACAGCAATTTCAATTAAAAATAAATCAATAGAAAACAACATTGTGTTTACAAAAGCAGACAAAGGTAACACTACTATTGCTATAGATAAAATAGAATATAATAACAAAACAATAGAATTCTTAAATAATCAAAATATTGAAACTTTACACAAAGATCCGACAGAAAAATATCAAAAACAAATTAAGCTAGCGTTAGAAAATTCAAAGTCAATACTAAATCCAATAGACCAGAAATACCTCAGTATCATGAACCCACAGCCTCCTAAATTATATTCTTTCATTAAATTACACAAACCGGATCACCCAATAAGACCTGTAGTTTCTTTTTATACAGCTCCGTCATATAAAATTTCAAAAAAACTGTTAGAGATTATTTTAGACCACACTAAATTTTCACCTAAATTTACCATAAAAAATACAATAGAACTGGTTAATAAAATACAACATTTTCAATTACCTAACAACTCCAGATTAATTTCATTTGACGTAAAAAATCTTTTTCCTAGTATCCCTCCTACAGAAACTTTTATTCTAGTAAAAAACCTTTTAGAGCAAAACAGTACAAATCCAATAATTACATCTGAAATTTTACATCTTCTTGAAGTTTGCATAAACCAGGACTACTTTGAATTCAATAATAAAATTTATACAAATAACAGCGCAGGACTTATAATGGGTAATCCTCTAAGCCCATTGCTATCAGATATTTTTATGGATCATCTAGAGACAAATATTTCAAAACATCCCGTATTCAAACAGTTTTTATATTGGTGGAGATACGTAGACGACGTACTGGTATGTTTCACAGGAACTAACAGGCAACTCGACCAATTTTTATCATATATTAATTCACTTCATAGTCATATTGAATTTACAATAGAAATAGAACAAAATCAATCCATAAATTTTTTAGATTTAAAAATTAGCAGACTTCAAAACAAACATGACTTCTCCATATTTCATAAACCTACCCATACTGACACGACTATACACAATTCGTCATCCCATCCAACACAACATAAACTGGCAGCTTATCATAGTATGTTACATAGATTAACAGAAATTCCGATGTCAAAATACAACTTTGAGACAGAATTAAATATAATTAAGCAAATAGCAGTAAACAACGGATACAACGAACAAACAATTAATAAAATGTTAAATCAAAAACTACACAAGAAAGCCCTGAAATTAGTATTTCCACCACTAGAGAAAAAACCCAGTACCTTCTGCTCTATTACATATACAGGCAAAATAACAACAAAAATTGCCAAGTACATAAAAAAGAAAGGAATAACACCAGCTTTCCGAACAAATAACAACCTAGGCAAATATATTAAAAATAACAAGAGCCAAAATAAAAAACACTTAAATAGTGGTGTGTACAAACTTCAATGTGGCGACTGCCCAAAAACTTACATCGGTCAAACTGGTAGAAACTTTGATAAACGAATAGCAGAACATAAAAGGGCTTTCAAGAATAGAAAAACAGATTCGACATATGCACTTCACCTTCTAGATCATAATCATTCTTTTAATGACAAATTCAAAATTCTTCACATTCAAAATAAAGGCCTTAAGCTATCTTTGTTAGAATCTATGGAAATAAACAAATTAAAAAACACAGATATAATTCTGAATGACCAACTTGAGACAAACAGTTCTCCCCTCCTCAACTTATTTCATTAGAGACTATAAATTTGTAAACCCAAGCCAAAACAGATCACTTGAGAAAGGCAATCAGCCGAAACAGCTGTAGTGATAATATTTAAAATAAATTTTGTGGAAGTTTGAAAACAAAGTTTTCAGTGTTTTATTGTTACAGAAAAAAAGTTATTTTGAAAGTAATTAAGTAGGTACTTATTATCATCATCATCATCATCAGTACCTCGGCAACCCTTTCTGGGTTCTGGCTTGTTCTAGGATTTTCCGCCATTCTGTTCTGTTCTTTGCATTGTTTTTCCAGTTGGTAATCTTAAATGTTTTCAGATCTTGTTCCATGTATCTAAGTTTGGGTCTTCCCTTTGACCTTCTCGCTACTGGTGTTTGCCTCATTATGTGTTTTGGCGTTTCAGTCTCCAACATCCGTTCAACATGGCCCATCCAGCGCAGTTCGATTTTTATGGATGTTATGATCTCGGGCTCATTGTATGCTGTGTATAGTTCAAAGTTGCTGCGCCATATGTCATTTTTCTTTACCACCTTATATGTGTCTAAGGATTTTTCGTTCAAAGCTACTGATTATGTGTTCATAAAATACTCTATTTTTATATATTTACTTGCAATTTTTAACTCATATTTTTGTTCATCGTAAAGACAAACTGTTTCATTTTATTGATCTTTTTTTTACTTTCTTCAAACCCTCTGTAATTAATAATCTTCTGTATAATTTTTAAGCCAACTTTACAATCATAGGATGAAAAAAAACGAACTGGGATATAATATAACTGTATCATTCATTCCATTCACTAGAAAGAAAACAGAGTGTTAAATGTTAATACCTAATGAACATAAACACATTTTTTATTTTTTACAATCCTCAAAAACTAAAAGACAATAATTTTAACCTGCGCGTCATGATCTTAGAAAAATACATACTAATACAAACCAAAATAAAGCTCGCTGATATAGTGACCGTGCTAATAAACAGCTGATTCTAAAATGACGTCATGACTTTAGATCAATAGACAATGCTTCTGAAAAGATGTAAATTCGGCAACATTGTGCCTGTCTCATGGCTCCCTTTTCCTTCCCCCGCCCACTTTGATGTGTTCAATCAAGGATTGTTGGGTGGTGTTCTACATAATAAACATTGCTCTTGTTTCCTGTGCGGTTTTAATTAATAAATTAATATGCGGTTGTAGCTATACAAAACAAATACTATTTTAAAATGTGTCAGCCAATAAAACATAGTGTAAAATGATTGAGTCCTAAAAATTAACGATCCCGGTGTGAATGTTCAGTATCAGTGATGGTAGTAATGGGGATGGGCTTTATCTTTGTTTATATTGTATTTTCTATTTGCAATATAAATACTCAAGAATCTACTACGGATTACCCGACAACATCAAACTATGAATTGGAGTTAAAAAATAATTGTGTATTCAAAGATTTAGATACAAACACATCTAAACTCAATAATGTTACTGTTGCAGCACCTGAAGGGCCTCAAAATTTAACCGTTTTGGACATTACTCCTAACAGTCTATATTTACAATGGTGTAATCCTTACAAAAAGAATGGTATTATTGAAGGATATAGGTTATACTATGTATTTCATAACTGTACCAATTACATGGAGGATCAAATACCCTTTGCTGAGCCATATATTCGATATAATCTTACTAAACTAGGTAAGTTTACATGATTTAGATAGCTTTGACAGTTTGTTTTAATGTACAATAAGCTATATTAGCGTAATAATATAGTAGACTTCTGAAACTGTTTTCTTGTGGCAAGTCTTTAAATAGTATGTTTATGGGATTAAGCCACAATTGATTGATTGAACAACTTTTTGGTTATATTTTTAGGTTAATTGTTAAAAAGATAATCTTTTTTGAAAACCATTTCCAGAGTGGAAATTGAAACATCAATTTAACATCATTTCATTACAATCAGTTGTGACTTAACATAAATATATAAACATAATATTTATTGTAGACTTGTAATTGTTATTCAGATCTGAAGTCTTTCTTAAGACAGTAGCATATAAACATGGAATTTTTTTCCAACATATCACAGATGTATTGCTTCATTAAACTAGGTATTGCTGATCTATAACTTCAAACATTCAAACCTAAACCTAAATTTTCTATCCTTTTCAATCCCTATAAGGTTAACAAAATGATTTTCTTTGTTAACTTTTTATGTTTGTTTTAGTTGTCCTCCTCATTTGACTACAATCTTCTTTGATTAGAAATTAAATTTATTCTGAACAATCAGGAAAAGTTTGAATGAGTCATTCAAAATGTTTCTTGATTTTTCATTGCTTCTACATTCTGATTCATTCTAGTAAAATAATAGATTTCCTCATCAATGTTTCATAAATTATTAATATAATATTAATGTAAAAATGCTTTTGTTATGAGCACTGATATACAGAAATTAAATTGTTTGTCTATAATATGTACTTGTTTAGTTTTTCTATAATGTTTATGTCATTTAACAATGTACATTTAATATTACTAGAATAAGATGATACTAAAGGACTCGTTAAGTTTAAAAACATTAGTAATGTATGTTATAAATATTTTTATAATCTTATTTTTTTAAATAAAAATTTTACATTGTTTTTAGAACCACTGACTGAATACCAGATTTATGTGAGAGCTTTTACAAAGAAATTTGAAGGCAGCCGTTCTAAAGTCTTAATAACTACTACAGATATTGGTGGACCAAGTGCTCCAAAAATTCTTAAGCTAGCTTGCCAAGCAAATGAAACTCTCTTCGTACACTGGGAAAGACCTTCAAGCTATTACTATTCCATAGATTTTTATTACGTGTTCATAAATTTGGGAACTGCTATCTATGACAAACTAAAAATGCCTACCAAAACTGATCATTTGGATACTGCAGTAAGTATCAAATTCAATAAATAATACCTAAATATTTAGATAGATAATAAGTTATAAGACTGACAAAAGTATTTTGAGATGCAGGAAGGCATCCAGTGATGTATCTCTTCTTAAACTTAGTCTTCAATCTTGACTCTTCAACACCTATTTATACATAATACACATACATTTAGTATTAATCAATTAACTTTAACAGAAGTTTTCGTTTTATCCTTCAAACTATATGTGGTTTATTCACTAAACTTTTTGCAAACACATTAGGATGCATTTTAAGTTTCTCTGTATGTTTAATCAGGTTGGTTTCAGGGTGGAATTGTAGATAAATACTTTATATTTTGGGGTTTTTGAAAGGTGACAGTATTGCGATATATCCATAAATGTGGCTGTGGTGATAGTTATATCTGTCAGTAGTGAATATAAGGTATAATATGGGTCCTAGGATGTTTCCTTGGGGCATCCCAATAGGAAATTTGTTGTGTGCTTGGGTATTTATTATCATACTTTACCTAGAAGTTTCTGGTGATGATATAGGGATTTAAGATTATATAGTAATTTGTTGGTAAATTCTATTTTAGTTTACATAAGAGACCTTTATGTCAGACTTTATATCAAAGATGTCTTGTTTATGTCCAGGAGTACTGCTGAACAGTACCTATCATTTTCAAAGTATTCATTGATTCCCTCTACAAATCTATGTACCTGTTGTATTGTTAAATGTTGTTTTATGAACTCAAATTGGTGTGATGTCATTAGTTTTTGTTTTTTAGTATAGGCATTAGCCTAGTGTAAGTGTCAGCATTTCAAAAACTTTGGAAACCACTGGAAGAAAACTAATAGGATGGTAGGACTGAACATTTTCTGTTTTTTTTTTCCTGGTTTTAGTATCAATGTTATCTGTGCTAATTTCCATTGTGGTGGGAAATAACCTAATCTCATTATGGAGTTAAATAACTGTGTCAGAAATTGGAAGACTCTCTAGGAGTTGCTGCAGAGTTTTCAGTAATAAAGTCGTATCCTGGGACTTTTTTGGATCAATATTGTTTTGTATTTTACTTCATTTTTTGTCAATCTTTTTTCAGGAACTTCTAGTTAATAATGTTTTGCGAGTACTTAAATAATCTCTTTATCAGTTGGTAGTGAGTATATTTCGTCATTTGGTGTAAAAACTTTTTTAAGGTGTGTAACAAATGTGTTAGATTTTTCTAGTGGACTTTTTACCCATTTTCCTGTTTTGGTTTTTAGTGGTGGGATTGTATAGTTCTGGCGTCATCAGGTTCTTCTAGCCTTCCGTAACAACTTGTCAGTGGCTTGGGTCTAGTTTTTGTAAGTATTTCTGAAAAGTTGAATTGTTTTCTATCATCAGTTTTTTAGTTCTTTTTGTGTTTTATTGAAGTCTGTTTTACTTTAAGTTGATCTTGTTATTTGTCATTGTTTTCTGAGTCTTCTTTTCTCTATTATCTTTTCATATATTGTATTGAAACAGTTTTTATTCATATATAGGTTTGTAGGTAATGGTGTTAAGATCCATGCAGCTTCCTGTACAACTGTGTTAATGCTCTATTGCATGTTCGATATTTTGTCTGTCTTTAGTGGGATGTGTAAATTGATTTGATTGTTTACTTGATATCTAAATAAACGTAGGTCCAAGTGTATCAAAAAAGGTTTTAAATTCTGATTGTTTAATTTAATGTTTTGTTGAATAATATGTAGCTGAAAAAGTTATTGGTCCCATCCAATCTTCTATAACTTCATTTGTAGCTTAAATATGTGCTTTTTGATACTGGTTTGTCTGGTAATGTTTAATATTGTTTCTTATAATAATTGCTGTCCCACTGTGTTAAGTTCCATGTGGATGTATTGTGTAATATATTTTATAGCTGTGAAATTTTATGAAAGTTTTTTTCAATAAGTTTGTTTCTAAAATCATTAAGTGTGTTTCATTAAGTGTGAATATTATGTCTAGTTTATGATGAATTATGAATGCATAAAACTCAAGTTTGTTTTGTGTTAAGTCATTAGCATTCCATGGTGCAAATTTTAATGTATTACTCATTAGTTCATTTTTGAGACAAGTGTTGTGAGTAAGCTTAGAATGGTGTTCATTTGTTGCATATATTTGTGGTAGCACCTGGTACCTGTTGGCTTGTAGTTGATTCAGTGACTCTTTCTTTCTCAAGGTTGTAAATGTTGGAATTTTCCTACAGCGGCATTCAGCTTTTGGGTGATTTAGTGCAAATTTTACACACCTGTGTTGATGATAGAAGAAATTTTTGTGTGACTGTACCCTTGGCATCTAGTTACATTGTACTAACTCACTGTTGGAGTTTAGTCTTGTAGTGTTGGAGCTTCAACATCAATTTTTGCGGTGAGTAAATATTCCATCTATAAATTACTTTATTATTTTCTTGCATTGTTAAGTCCACAAAATATAGTGGTAGTGGTTTTTTTTGTAATTCTTGGTTCTCTATTTCTTTTCTAATTTCTTCTATACATCCACTATTATAAGGGTTTGTCTTGCTTCTTGAGATGTCTATGATATTCAGTTTATTTTCGTCAAGTGCTTTTACTATACCGTCATATATTTCAATTGTTTGGGCCTGTACCTTACTTGCACTTCGTTTAATACTCGTGATTAAATGTTTGTCTTTGGCTATAGAGTTTAATAGTTGGATGTTTTTAACACTGGCAATAAATGTCGGTAAGGGTTGCTCCTTTTTTGCGTCTTCAGTATCTGATTCTTCATTAATTAATACATTAAATTTATTTGCTGTTGGTGTGTTCCAAGAGTAGTTATCTATTTTGGTTTGTTTAAGTTTGAAACTGACTATTTCTTGGACTTTTTTTTTATTTTGGATTAATTGCCATTCTTCATGTTCATTTTTCTAGAGCTTATTTTATTTTCACACCTACTGCTTCCAAAAAATTATAACTAAAATATCGATGCTTGAAAGGTAAAACAGCTACTTAATACACCAATTGTAAATTTTACAGGAGGACCATTTAAAGTTTGAAATTTTAGAAAAAAAATCATAATTTTTGTTGTAAGATCTTGACAAATCTTAGGATTATGAATGTTAAATAGTAGAATTCTTTTATGCTTTAAATTTCTAAAAGAAATACTATCTAGTTTTAAAATTAATGGCGCTTTATACAAAGTGATTCTTGAATGCAAACAGGAGAAATGTATTATAAGCATAATATAACCAGGTTACTGAAAACAGCTAATTTGCCAAATACGAGTAATTTTATGACAAGGTGAAATGTTTTATAATGCATTTATCTTATGAGATGGATGCCATTAGAAGTGTCTTTTGTGAAAATTAGAAGAATATAAGTCACTCTCGGTTTAAATTCTAATATTATTTTATTATATTTATTGCATCATTATTAGATATTCTAGACATTTTATATCAAAAAACAAAAAGAAATAGTTCAAGTTACTAGAAAATACTTTATTTCAACAAAAAAGCAAGTGATTTTTATGACAAAAATAATAAAAAACACATCAGCAATATTAAAGTTCAACTCCTTCGTCTACATCAGTCTCTGCATGGACATCATTTACACTAGTACCTCTATGTAGATTTGAATATTCGTTATGATATTGCAAGGATATTACATTCGAATGGCACAATGTATTCAGATCGTTATATTTTTGTTTGGAAACTGACAAAGGGTTTGGATATAAGTTACAATTTGGCGATTTCTTTACTTTACTACTGAAGTGTATGATCTCCTCTTGAGCATCTGAAGCCATCGAAAATTTTGCATACATCTTAGTTAGTTCAGACTTATTGAATGTAGCGACTTTAATTTTACTTATTTCAAGATTCCTTTAAAATATTTTATATGTCGTCCCATGACGTGAAATTTTTATGAAGCATGGGGTGAACTGCATAAGGTTCAGGAATGTTACGAGCTAATTCAACAGCAGTTGGCCATTGTGAAGGTGTCCAAATAATATGTTTAGCTATTCTTTTTTCTATAACAGAATGCGTGCCGTCAACTGGCATGTACGAGTGACCTGGCAGAAGATAGTTAATCTGGATCACATTTATATTTTTACAGGACATCAAGTTGTAATGGAGAGAGGACAAAACAGTACGATTCTTATTTTTACCTGGACATGAGCCACAATAAAGCAAATAGCTTTGCGATTGTCCCACAGTCATTAATTTTTTCGTAAATAATACTAGACATGTGGCAATTTCATTAGCTCCTCTCTTTCCTAGGCTTTCATTTCAATAATAGAAATGACATTTCCTTGTTGTACTTTCATTGAAGATAAAGGCCAATTTTCTGGAGTATTAAAGTAGCATACTTTCCCTGTATGGTGTATTTAACTTTCTGTAAGTCTAACGAGACACACAAGATACTTCTAATTTTCTCAGTTTCCGGTCTAGGGTTATTTTCGAAACCAACACACTTGACACATTTGTCTTTGTTGGGAATTTGAATTCCGATATTGAATTCTTTTATAAATGTGTTTCTAAATAATCTCTCTGGCACAACGTCTGTACTTTTTTCTAGTTCTCTTTTCTTATAATATATATAGATTTGTAATGTTCTTAAACTCATTGGGCAAATAAAGTTTGGTGGAGTCTTTTCTTGCATAGTGTGACGGCACTGCTGGCAAACTTGTAATGAAGTTTCTTACAGAGTTCATGACTTCTTCCTTTATTTTATTCGGAGGGATAGTTTTTCTCGCATATCCTCTTTTCTCAAACCATAACAAGCATTAGAGAGTGTGTAATAAAACATATCTTTGTGATACATTCAAAGTAGATAATAAAACTTGACATTGACCTTCATTAATAAAATAAAGAAATGTATTGGACCTTCTGCTTTCGTTTTTTACTCTTTCTCTTAACAGACTATTTCTTTGATATCGAAATAAGCCAATCGCGACGTCACCAAAAGTAATTAAATATATTCAACCGTTTTTCCTCAGATATGTCATATTGATTAGTGCATTTCTTGGTTGTCATGGATTTGGTCCT